TTTGTGGGTGTTTTTGGGGTGGTTTTGGGGTGTTTTTGGTGTTTTTTTTGGGGTGTTCTTGGGCTGTTTCTGGGGTGTTTTTGGGGTGTTTTTGGGGTGTTTTTTGGGGTGTTTTTTGGGGTAATTTTGGGGTGTTTTTGGTGGTGTTTTTGGGGTGTTTTTGGGGTGTTCTTTGGGGTGTTTTTGGAGTAATTTTGGGTTGTTTTTTGGGGTGTTTTTGGGGTGTTTTTGGGGTGTTTTTTGGGGTGTTTTTTGGGGTAATTTTGGGGTGTTTTTGGGGGTGTTTTTGGGGTGTTTTTGGGGTGTTTTTTGGGGTGTTTTTTGGGGTAATTTTGGGGTGTTTTTGGGGGTGTTTTTGGGGTGTTTTTGGGGTGTTTTTTGGGGTGTTTTTTGGGGTAATTTTGGGGTGTTTTTGGGGGTGTTTTTGGGGTGTTTTTGGGGTGTTTTTTGGGGTGTTTTTTGGGGTAATTTTGGGGTGTTTTTGGGGGTGTTTTTGGGGTGTTTTTGGGGTGTTTTTTGGGGTGTTTTTTGGGGTAATTTTGGGGTGTTTTTGGGGGTGTTTTTGGGGTGTTTTTGGGGTGTTTTTTGGGGTGTTTTTTGGGGTAATTTTGGGGTGTTTTTGGGGGTGTTTTTGGGGTGTTTTTGGGGTGTTTTTTGGGGTGTTTTTTGGGGTAATTTTGGGGTGTTTTTGGGGGTGTTTTTGGGGTGTTTTTGGGGTGTTTTTTGGGGTGTTTTTTGGGGTAATTTTGGGGTGTTTTTGGGGGTGTTTTTGGGGTGTTTTTGGGGTGTTTTTTGGGGTGTTTTTTGGGGTAATTTTGGGGTGTTTTTGGGGGTGTTTTTGGGGTGTTTTTGGGGTGTTTTTTGGGGTGTTTTTTGGGGTAATTTTGGGGTGTTTTTGGGGGTGTTTTTGGGGTGTTTTTGGGGTGTTTTTTGGGGTGTTTTTTGGGGTAATTTTGGGGTGTTTTTGGGGGTGTTTTTGGGGTGTTTTTGGGGTGTTTTTTGGGGTGTTTTTTGGGGTAATTTTGGGGTGTTTTTGGGGGTGTTTTTGGGGTGTTTTTGGGGTGTTTTTTGGGGTGTTTTTTGGGGTAATTTTGGGGTGTTTTTGGGGGTGTTTTTGGGGTGTTTTTGGGGTGTTTTTTGGGGTGTTTTTTGGGGTAATTTTGGGGTGTTTTTGGGGGTGTTTTTGGGGTGTTTTTGGGGTGTTTTTTGGGGTGTTTTTTGGGGTAATTTTGGGGTGTTTTTGGGGGTGTTTTTGGGGTGTTTTTGGGGTGTTTTTTGGGGTGTTTTTTGGGGTAATTTTGGGGTGTTTTTGGGGGTGTTTTTGGGGTGTTTTTGGGGTGTTTTTTGGGGTGTTTTTTGGGGTAATTTTGGGGTGTTTTTGGGGGTGTTTTTGGGGTGTTTTTGGGGTGTTTTTTGGGGTGTTTTTTGGGGTAATTTTGGGGTGTTTTTGGGGGTGTTTTTGGGGTGTTTTTGGGGTGTTTTGGGGTCTCACCTGGAAGCCCGCCATGGCGAAGGCGGCCGCCATCTCCCGGTCACCGTTGCTCCCCTCCTCCCTCAGCACGGCCACCCGCGGCCCCGGCAGCTCTGGGGGACCCCAAAAATCGACATCAGCGCCCCCAAAAACCCCCAAAACCACCCCAAAACCCCACAGACCCCAAATAACCAAAAAAAAAACCCCACAAGAAACGGAAAATCCAATAAAAATCACTCAAAGCCCTAAAGAAATCCCACAGAAATCCCCAAAATCCCACAGAAATCCCCAAATCCCACAGAGCCCATCCAGGCTGCTCTGGGGGACCCCAAAAATCGACATCAGCACCCCCAAAAACCCCAAAATCTGCCCCAAAATCAAAGAGACCACCAAAAAAAAACCCCAAATGCCCCCAAAATTCCACAAATGCCCCAAATCCTACAGAATTCCATAAAAATGACACAAGAATTCCATAAAATCCCACAAGACCCTCAAAAAAATCCCACAAAATCCTCCCAAATCCCAAAAAAAACCCCCAAAATTCCCCACAAAACGTCCCCAGAATCCCAGAAAATCCAAGAGAGATCCCAGAAAAATCAAAAAATGCTCCCAAATCCCAAAAATCCCAGAAAATCCCACACAGAACTCACAAAAACCCTCCAAAAAAAAAAAAATCCCACAAAATCCTCAATCCCAAAAAAACCCCTAAAAATCCTCACAAAATCACCCCAAAATTCCAGAAAATCCCACAGAGATCCCGGAAAAATCCAAAAAAAAAAAAACCCCATAAAATGCCCCCAAATCCCGAAAATCCCGGAAAAACCCGCCAAGATTCCAGAGGAATTCCCCCAAACCCCAAAAATCTCCCCAAAATCTCCCGAAACGCCCCCAAAATCCCCCCCAAAGATCTCAAAAACCCCCAAAAGCGCCTGAAAATCCCCCAAAAACACCGAAAATAACCCCAAAATTCCCCAAATGTCCCCAA